GCTGGCCGCGGACCTCGGACCGGGGACTTCTCAGCCTCAGTTTACCGTCTGCAAAGTGGGCCTGACGGTTCCCGTCCCTCGGGGTCCGGGCGCGTGGGGCGGCGCCCGCAGACAGACACGGCGGTCGCCAGGGGCCAGTGCGCCGCCACCCGGCGGAGGCCTCCTCTCCGCTCTGGGGCGACCACCCGCGCCCCCCGAGGCCGGGGTCAAGGTCACGCGGCGGCGGCGGCCACCCGTCCTCCCTACCCCCAGGTGCCCACTCACCTTCCAGCCGGAGGCGACCGCCGCGCCAGAGCAGACCGGAAGTGATCCCGCCCCCCGCCCTGGCCGCCCGCACTTCCGGCCGCTCTGGGCGCCTGGAGGACTGCCGCCTCGGTGGCCCCATAGCCCCAAGGCTTGTGATGGAAGCTCACACGTAACTTGTTTCGGACTGTGTTGTCCCTGAGAGTGGACAAGGGCGGCGGGCCTGACCCTCACCAGTTTCCCTTCCCTGCCTTTCCCTCCTCTCCTTGCCCGGCCACCCTGTCGCCCTGGGGGGCACCGGACCTGGGGGTTCTGGTTACTCCTTGCGGAGACTTAACCAATCGCAGGGTTCCGCCCTCCCCGCCCCTGCCCCATGTTCGGGGTCGCCCTGTCCTTGGACTCTGCCAGGCTTCTCCGCCTGAATGGCATCTCATCAAACAAGCGCTCAGGTTTCTGCCGACAGCTCCCCTGACCTCCTCGGGGTCGCCCCGTGGGATCCCAGCAGCTTCCCTGCCCCCACCCGTCAGTGTGACATCAGCAAACATTCCTAGACATTGTCCGATCCCTTCTGGGAGGCAGACTCGCCTCTCCTGCTCCCAGGCAGGCAGTGAGGAAGGGTGTGACCTGAAGCGGGTAGCCCCAGGTCCTGGAGGCTGGCCTGGTCCCTCCCAGACACCCCCATGGGTAATGACTGCAGGTTTCCCAGGTGGGAGGGCCACAAAGGTGGTGCCTGCAGAGGAACTTGGTATCTTGTCACTGCAGGGGTCACTCCTCAGTTAGCAAATTCCTGTTCTGATTTATGTGCTGTCTCTTAGGGGTTTGGTTAACGTGAGGCTGCCCCCCAAGACACCCACGGAAGGCAGCAACCAGATGGGTCTCTGGCCATGCTGGCCCAGGCCAGCTTCTCTGGGGGAGGCAGTGGCGCCTCCCTGGGGAATCCCAGCTGCACCCCCAAGCTGCTGAGGTCAACAGACACAGGGAAGGGGTCAGGACAGATGTTTATTTCGGGAGAAAACAGGCGCCAACAGCCCAGGACAGGAGGCATCGGGCCGAGTGCAGGGCAGTGGAGTAACCAGGAGCCAGTGTGGCACCGTCTGCTGGGAGACCAGGTGGGCGCGAGGCCAGGCGACCACGGGAAGCAGAGAATGCCCTCCGAGGGTGTGAAGGGACCACTCTGACGAGTTACTAAGTCAACAGACCGGTGTCCGCACCACCACAGCCCAAGGCCACCAGCTGTGTGAGCGCTGCCGGCCACGGCCACTGAGCCCGGGGTCTGGGGGCACGGACCTCTCCCCAGGGGAGAGAAGGAGGGGCCAATGCACCGAGGAAGCGGACACCAAGAGGCACAGACACAGGGAACAGAGAACCAGGATGCCGTGTGGGTAAGGCTGCAGGGACACGGGCACATGTGGAGCCGTGCGTGGAACCCACACGGGCACCCCCAGTGCCAAGACCCAGGCCTGCACTGGAGCTGAGGCACCCTGGGTGCTTGCCCGGGGGGACAGTGACTTCAGACCTCAGAAACCAGGTCGGCAGGGTCCGCAGGGGAGTTTGGGCAGCAGCACCAGCCCCGCCCCCCTGGCCAGCCTGGATCCTGATGGGACCCTGGTCAAAGGAGGCCACCCTGCAGTTCACCCAGCAGGTGGCTGGGGCCCGTGTGGCAGGTGCAGCTGGACCACAGATGCCGTCAGCATCCGGGACCCCAGCCCGGGCCTGGCAGGAAGCACCCATGTGGCAACTCAGGACCGAGGAGCTGTGTCCCACGTGGCGCGTCTGGGTAAGCCGGGCAGCTTATCTGGGACGATGGCCGGCCCGGAGGACACACGGGGGGGCAGTTCCCGGGGACAGGGGCTGAGTGTAAGGGCTGGTAGCCCAAGGACGGTCACCGCAGCAGCCGAAGCTCTGCTCTCGGGCTCGGAGCCACCGGCCTCCTGCGGCTGCGTGGGCACGGGCTCAGGACCCACCGGCCAAGAGCCTGCAGACCAACGACCTGGAAGGAGCAGGTGCGCGGCCACAGCCAGAGTGGACACCACAGCGGGACGGCGGCGGGAGGTGCTGAGCGGACAGCTCCGCTCAGGGCTTCTTCCTGGGGTGCTGCTTCCGGTGGCGAATGAGGCAGGAGCTGTAGGCGAAGGTTTTCCCGCATTCCTTGCACTCGTAGGGCTTCTCTCCAGTGTGAGTTTTCTGATGTTTTAGGAGATTCGAGCCGCAGTTGAAGGCCTTCCCGCACTCGCCGCACGTGAAGGGCTTCTCACCGGTGTGGACCCGCCGGTGCTTGGTGACGTCGGAGCTGTGGCGGAAGGCCTTCCCGCACTGGCCGCAGCGGAAGGGCTTCTCGCCGGTGTGGACGCGCTGGTGGCGGGTGAGGTCTGCCTTGTGCTTGAAGACGCGTCCGCACTCCCCGCACTTGCAGGGCTTCTTCCTCTGAAAAGGGACGAACACGGGAACCCCCGCGAAGTCATCTTTAAAGGAAGCATCGAAGGCGTCAAAGATGTGGGCC